TTCATTTAAGGGTGAGAGGAAACGAAAATGCTAGAAACCTGGGAACTCCTGGAGTGGAGGGGAAGCTTTGGCTGTCATCGGGCGGAGGCTTTGGGAAGGAGAAGCACGTGGAGTAGAGCACATTCCTGGCAGTGCGGGCTGGGGGCCATGGGGGAGCCTCCACAGCCCAGCCGGGCCAGTGTCCTGGGGATGCCATAACCAAGCCCAGCAATTTCTGGGGAGCAATTTCCAAGGCACAGTGAAGCACCACCAACCATCCCAAGCGATTTGGGAAGCACATGAACACATGCTATTTTGTTGTGGATTTGTTTCAATGAGTAGTGAGAAAATGTAACTGGTACGATAAACTCATTGATGTTTTCTTCATCAAGAGAACATAAATAAAGTTGGTAATTTTAAAAAGTGAACTTATTTTAAGAAAATTGTTAATAGCACAGATCCTACGTGGATACAAAAATCCACATAGATGTGGTGAAAATCCACGTGGGGGTGGTATCTGAATGCCGTTAGTCTGGGAAGTTGTTTGCTATGGACTGAATGTCCGGGTCTCCCCAAAATTCATACCGATGTGATGCTCTCTGGAGGTGAGGCCTTTGGGAGGTGATCAGGGTTGGATGAGGTCATGGGGGTGGAGCCCCCATGATGTGATTAGTGACCCCAGGAGAAGAAACACCAGAGACGTGGCTCCCTCCGCACCAAGTGAGGACGTAGCAAGAAGATGCCACCTGTGAGCCAGGAAGAGCCCCCCCACACACACAGCCCCTGGAACCAACCTTGCTGGCTCCCTGATCTCAGACTTCCAGTCTCCAGAACTGCAAAAAATTCGTTTTTGTTGTTTAAAGCCGCCAGTCTGTGGCACTGTGTTTCGGAGGCCAGGACAGACCAAGACACTGCTCTCGTGTCCAATTTTAAGTTGACTTGCCTTCTTAAAAGGTGGATCTGGCCACGTGGAGGAAGGGGGATGGTGGGGAGGGCGCAGGCGAGAGAACAGTCAGGCTACTGTCCCACGTGTCTTCCAGGCTACGGGCCCTGTCGGAGTGGGCTGCCCACGCAGAGCCAGCTGCACATGGGACGTGGCCTTCCTCAGAGCCCTCACCCCTCAGCTGGCACCACAGCAAAGCCCCTCACCAGTCCCATGCGGTTCCTCAGCATGGCGCATAGCCCGAGTCCTACCTTCTCCACAACGCCGAGGACTAACCACTACGATCACGGCCAAGGGTCCTACCTTCTCCAATCTCATCTCCCGTGGCACAGCCTTGACGTGTCCTGTTCCAAGTGTGAAAACAGCCCTACTGATGTCTACGCAACGTGTGGGCACCTCTGTGCGTCTCTGACTGGGACGTGCCTGCACCTGAGCCCTGCCCCATTTGGGCAATTCTTCGCACAATGCAATCCTCAACGCAGAGGGGTTTTGTTGTATTTCGTTTTGCTACATTGAGTTTTGAGTCTTCCTGCTTCCATGTATCTGAATCATATCTTCAAATACCAAAGTTTGCTTATGTTAAAGAAGAAGATTATTATTCAAAAACATTGTTCAGGGATGCCTGGGTGGCTCAGTAGGTTAAGTGTCTGCCTTTGGCTCAGGTCATGATCCCAGGGTTCTGGGATTGAGTCCCGGTATCAGGCTCCCTGCTCAGCGGGGAGCCTGCCTCTCCTTCTGCCTGCCACTCCCCCTGCTTGTGCACTCTCTCTCTCTCTCCCTCTCTCTCTCTGTCAAATAAATACTTTTTTTTTTTAAGATTTTATTTATTTATTTGAGAGAGAGAGACAATGAGAGACAGAGAGCATGAGAGGGAGGAGGGTCAGAGGGAGAAGCAGACTCCCTGCCAAGCAGGGAGCCCGATGCGGGACTCGATCCAGGGACTCCAGGATCATGACCTGAGCCGAAGGCAGTTGCTTAACCAACTGAGCCACCCAGGCGCCCAAATAAATAAAATCTTTAAAAACAAGCAAACTGTTCAGTGAGACTTGTTAAAGCATAGTAAAGTGGACTATACTCAGGGACTGCGGCAGTGGGAGCAGGAACCCCAATTTTCCTTGTAGTAGGGAGAAAGATCAGACTCAGCTCTGAGTACAGCAGGGGCAACTTCTTTACCCTGGGTGGGCGACTGAGGGTGAAATGCTACCAGGACAAAACACCAGGGCCAGTGAACCAGCTAGTTCTGGCTAAACTGACCCAGCAGGATTCTTGCTGAAGGCAGGCAGGGGTGAGCTGACATCACCCAGGGAGCCTGGGGGGTGAGGAACTTGATCAGATATCAAAGACGATCAGGTATGGGGGATGGGAATTGTAGCTAAGCCGAGTTAGCAGGAGTCTTGCTAAAATTGGACAATGCAGAGACAAACACCCAAGTCCAAAAGTCTAAGACTGGCTGAAATTCGGAGGAGCCTGAGTAGAGTTCAGTCAAGGAGAGAATGTTTTGTCACATATTTATGGTTGTTTTGTCAAATAAATTGAAGCACTTGAGTGATGAATCTAGTCCCCCCCCCTTTTCCCCCAGAGCTTTTTAGAAATAAGAATCCCGAAGAAAATATATAACTGGTAATAATAATGAGTTGGGCAGAACTTGGGACCAACCAACTAGAACACTGGCATTTGGAAGCCCTTATAATTCTCATATCCACAATTATCATGCAGGGACCCATCATCATATCTGTGTTGATCTATTTCAGCTACTTAAATATATACACAGTCCTAGTAACTCTGAAAACCAGGAAGTCTATGACATCTGTGTATGGTGCCACTCTAACCTACTTTATTTTCCTAGGCCTTAAGGCTCTTAACGCAAAATAAATTCCAAGGGTAAAAAAATCTAACTGGTTTGGAAACTAGGTCTGGCTATTATTCTCAGCTCTGCCCCAGGCACCCGGTTTGTCCTTGTGCAAGTGCTCAGCTTCTCTGTGTCTCAGTTTTGTCAACCGCAGCGGGCACAGTGGAGTAGTCCCTCCCCCTCGATATTACAGATGACAAGGCATGTTCACGTCCTTTGCAAAATGGGAAAGGGTATTCCTCTTTCCTCTTCCTCTTTCCTAGGAAGGATGGAAGTCATTACCAGGGTATACACCTTACAGAGATAATTAGATTAAAATCAGCATGGTCTATGCAAAGAAAAATGGTTGACTTCTGGAGTGGACCAAGCTTGCCATGAGTTGACAGCATAGTTCCACCTTTCTGGTCCAAACAAAAAAGGTATTGCTTCAACTATTGAAATAGTCTTTCTTGCCTCATCTAATAGACTAGAAACCCCTTGAGGGAAGACTGAGTCTGTCTCGTTCACATTTCCCATGCATTAGTAATTGCTCCCTGAACCGAACTTGCTGCTTTTCCTCACTTCCTGTATCTGGAGCACCTCCCCAAGTGCAGCATTCACATGTCAACACGCTTGCTGTATGAATAGAGGACTGTGTTGTACATTTACACCATAAATTAATTCCCCTTCGTTAGGCATTAGGGGCTCAACTTCTTGTTTTATTGGCTAATGCTGCCAGCTGATATCTAATGCACCATTATTTTCCCAGACATCCGGTTCCCTACTTAAAGTTGAATTACTGGGATTCCGAATTCTGTGAAAGAAACAAGGAAAGCAATATATATATGGAAAAAGAATACATACAAATGAAACTACATGGTAAGAAAAGTACTGTAAGGAAATAACCCATAAACGTTGATAGTGGTTATTCCTCGATAGTAAATTATTGATTTTCACGTATTAGTCTTATCATTAGAAAATCTGTTAAGAAAACTATGATTCTCGGTCACTGACCGAGGATTTTCCAGTGTTTTGCTGGCTGCTCCTGCAGCCTGCCCGACAGGCGGGCGCCTCGTGAGGACGGAGCCCGGCGGGGACTCGGGCCTCGCCGGCAGTGTCCCCGCGGGCCGGTCGGGACACTGCGCGGCAGGGGTCTGGACGGGGCACGCGGCCGAGAGCTGGCCCGGGCCCCGCCTCTGCCGCTCCCGGCTCCCGGAATTCCCCGGGCTCCGGCCCGCCTCCTGCCCCGGGCCCCGCCTCCTGCCCCGGGCCCCGCCTCCTGCCCCGGGCCCCGCCTCCTGCCCCGGGCCCCGCCTCCTGCCCCAGGCGCTCATCGCATCCCCGCCCCGCTAGGCCCCGTTCCTGGCCCAGGCCCCGCCTCCTGCTCCAGGCGCCGGCCCCAAGCCCCACCCAGCTAGGCCCCGCCTCTGGCACAAGCCCCGCCCCCTGCTCCCCGCCTCAGCGCCGGCTCCCCCCGGCCCAGACCCCGCCCCCCGCTCCCTGCCGGCCTGCTGCTCCAAGCGCCGGCCCCAACCAGGGCCCCGCCAGGCCCCGCCCCCCGGCGCTCCAGGCCCCGCCTCCAACCTCCGGCGTCCGCGGGCGCCGGCCTCAGACCGGCCCGCGGCAGGCCCCGCCCCCGCCCCGCCCCCCGTGCGCGCTCTGCTGCGCTCCGCTCCGCAGCCGGCGGGACGAGGCGGCCACACTCGCGCTCCTTTGTGCTCCGGCGGCGGCCTCTCGGTCCTCACCGCGCGTCCTCTCGGTCGGCTAGCCCGAGCTCTCCGGCGACGGACCATGTCGACGGCAGGAGCGGGCGCAGGCGTGGAGGCGGGCTTCTCCAGCGAGGAGCTGCTGTCGCTCCGCTTCCCGCTGCACCGCGCCTGCCGCGACGGGGACCTGGCCGCGCTCTGCTCGCTGCTGCAGCAGACGCCGCGCGCCCACCTGGCCGCCGAGGACTCCTTCTACGGCTGGACGCCCGTGCACTGGGCCGCGCACTTCGGCAAGGTGGGCGCGGGCGCTTTAAGGCGCCATTTTCCGCGGCTCTCCGCGGTGGGCCGGGGAGGGTGGGGGCTGAGGCGCGGGGGCGCGGGGGGTGCCGGGAGCGCGGGGCGGAAGCGGGGCCGACGGCGCTGGCGCCCCGAGCGAGCGGTCCGGCGCGCATGTGCGGCGGCGCGGGCGGTGCGGGCGGAAGCGGGCCCCGCGGCGACGGCGCCGCGAGGGGCCGCGGGGCGCATGTGCGGCGGCGCGTTTCAAACGGCGGCGGCTTCGCGGGCGCGCCGCCCCCAGCGGAGGCAGTTGGCGCCTGCGGCGGGCTGGGCTCGCGGGGCGCAGGCGCTGCCGCTTGGGCGGCCGCGCGCGGGAGAGTGGCCTGGGCTCGCGGCGCGGCGCGGTGACTTGCCCGCGGCCAGAGCCGCGCTCGCCCTCCTGCGCAGGCCGCGCCCCTTGTCCACCGCGTCCTAGGGGCGCTGGACATCCGGGAAGGACGGGACGCCGCCGTCCACTTCCCAGGGATTCGGGAACGCGCTCCTCGTCCGTCTTAGAACGCGGTCCCCGCCGCATTTCACAGCTGACTCTGGGGCTCCCATTTGTGGACGTGGAACAGTGCTCTCCCTGGGAGACCGTGCGGCCGCGGCCTCGCAGAGCCGGGTGCCGTGTCTTTCCAGGCACAGGTTGCTCTCCTGCTGCCGCTGCGTCCGGCAGTCGGTGCTCGTGTGTGTCTCGGGCAGCGTGCACGCTCCGAACGGCCGGAGAGCCCCGTTGGTGCCGGTGGAGCCCGTGGGAGGGCGCTGGGACCGCGGCGCGGGGCCGAGAGACCCCAGCCACTGGAACGCGCGCTCCCGCCTCCGCTGGACCTCGCCCGAGGCGGTCGTGCCCTGAAGCTCTGCGTCCCTGCCCAGTGCGCCCGCCTCCGGGGTTTTTGCCCCTTACATCGTGGGTAACTCAGGGCGCGGGTCCTCAGCATCCTCGGTCCCCGCGTGCTTTGGGGACAGACAGCCTCCCGCCAGGCAAGGACGGCTGTTTTTGAAAAGGCTTCCCTGTTGATCGATCCTCCAGTTGAGCATGGCACAGTATCGTAGGACAGCCTGGCACGTTCTGCCCGGCGCTTAGAACCTCGTTACAGTGTTGATTCAGGGTATTTACCAACCCAGGGGTGCCTCCAGCTACCTCTCGGGATTGGAAGGAGCTGGGACAGGCTTTAACACGCTTACCACGGTACCTCTCAGGTTATGTATGTTCTACAAACAGTAAGAAGCAGAACCCCCGAGTTCACTTTTTGGAAGTCTCTGCTGTGGAACGTAAGTAGTAGGTCAACCCTGGGCACCAGATGTAACCAGAGGCTGTTCGTTCCTTCAGTGTTGGGGCGGAAATTAGGCCGGGAGTGGGGCTGCAAGATCTCCGTGCAACCCCTCCCTGCCGCTCCCCCCCCTCCCCCCCCCCCCCCGGGCCAGCAGCTCCCCTGTTTTTATCCGCATCTGAGCCTGCCCTGTGCTGGGGCCTGGGCAAGAGCCAAGTTGGCACTTAACACATAACGAACTATTCCCATCTTTCAGGCTGGCGTTCTGAGAAATGTGCCAACTCTGCACGTTACCTGACCTTTCATGAGGCTTATTTTTCCTTGAGAACTAAACATTATTTAAAATCTCTAGTTACACTTGGCTTTTGCAAGCTGTCGTATGGAACAGTATCTCTCCCAGTTTCCTAAAGCGAACCCACAGGTAACAGATTTAAGTCCAGGGAGCTCTGGCTTGATCTTAATAAGTAACAGCTTTTGGCATACCCGCTGATTTTGATCCTTGTTTTTTTTTTTTGGACTTGAAACCTGTTGGCCTTATCACTACCATTGGCACTTTCGTTTTCTCCTAGTACATTAATAACGGCGTTATGCAAAATTGCACCAAAGGTGTGTCTCTTTATCAGCTGTCACTCCCAGATTCTAGTTCCTGGAAGCCCGAGATCGTGTTAAATCTGTGTGCTCCCAGCGTGAGAGTCCATCTCCCACAAATGTGGGTCACAGTGACCTGTCTTTAGCAAGGAAAGGCTTAAATTGCTGACAGAGAGTAAGAGATGCAGGGTCACATCGGGGTGTGGCCGCCTGTTCTTCCTCCGATCTCTGTCTTGTGGAAGAGGATCATTGGCACTTGGAGCTTCTCCACTAACTCTGCGCTGTGCCTCTATAGGGGAAATGGGCCGAGCAGGATCTGAGGACATGTGGGTGGAGCAGTGTAAGTCTGCGGACAGCAGGCCTTGTGGGACAGCGCCTGGCTCGCGGTGGGCACGTGTGGGGTATGTGTGGAGTGTGACGAGCCTCCTGCAGCCACAGGCTGGGATGATAATTGGTGCCCGGCTGTAAAGTGTGGTCTTGCCACATGCGTGGTCCTCTTTCAGCCCCCTGGGAGGCCAGAGCTTGGATGTGCCCTAGGCCTTTTCCTCCCGGGGGGGGGGGGGTTGGAGGGGCGTGCACAGTGTGAACACTCACTCTGCACATCGGGACTGGAGGCAGGCCTCGGCTGAGCTTTCCTCGAATGCGGCCCGTGTGAGGGTGCACAGGGTGCCCTCGTGCAGAGCAGAAAACGCTCTATGAAGCGTTCACTGTGGCTGCACCTCCTTTCAACAACCAGTCACTGGCTTTGTTCTGTAGCATGGCGTGTGAAAGTGGTAAGACCCAGCTGCGATAGAAGTCTTTGAATATCGCAGTCTTTACTGATTTGGGCTTTTTCAGTTGTAGGAAAAACAGAATGTTTAAATTTGTGTGCCGTCAGTGTTTTTGACTTTCTACTCCTGTGTAACAGATTTTTTTTTAAAACCAGGATAAGGAAAAATACTCTAAGGTTTTTTTTTTTTTTAAGATTGATTTTATTTATTTGACACAGAGAGACACGGCGAGAGAGGGAACACAAGCAGGGGGAGTGGGAGAGGGAGAAGCAGGCTTCCCGTGGAGCAGGGATCCCGATGCAGGGCTCGATCCCAGGACCCTGGGATCATGACCTGAGCCGAAGGCAGACGCTTAACGACTGAGCCACCCAGGGCCCCTCTTTTTAAGCTTTTTTAAAATTTGTATTGCGAAGGAATGACTTCTGTTGTTCCCTTAAACAGAAAAAAAGCTGGGCAACAAAAATGCCACTTATCTACATCACAGAATTGAAATTGTTTGTGTAACATGTAAAAACGTACGACACACGTGTGTCATCCCCCTTCTGCTGTTTTCAAAGTTGGAGTGCCTCATCCAGTTGGTGAGAGCTGGAGCCACACTGGACGTCTCCACTACGCGCTACGCACAGACTCCAGCCCACATCGCTGCTTTCGGGGGCCACCCCCAGTGCCTCATCTGGTTGATTCAAGCAGGAGCCAGCATTAACAAACCGGTAAGGGAGTGCTGATGATTAACTTGGTTTTTATTTTCTTTTTCCAGTTATAATTACATGGTGTTGAATTTTAATTGGGGGCCTTAATTAGAGTTTGATAGGTTAACCTCGGGGCTAATGGGGATTTACGTGTATGGAGTTATTTGTAGATAATAGGCCCTTCACGGAGCGGTGCGTTCTGTTTAGAGAGCGCTTTCACCTGTTACCTGACTTACCGGGATCCACGGCGATCCGAGGTGGCTTGCCCACGTCACAGCTGGTAACTGAAGGAGTCTGGCCTGGAGCCCAGGTTTCCCGGCTCCCCTGCCCACAGTGGCCTCCGCTTCCTTGCCGCACAAAGCGCTGAGACACACCCACGCTAGCAGAAGGATGGCTGTGGCCTCGTCGGGGCCGTTGGGGCAGCTGTCCAGCACTAGCAGGCGGACCAGCGTGAGTTCACGCCCTCTGACCGATCGCGGATGAGGAGCTGGGGGGGGGGGCGGGTTGGGGGGTGCAAGCGCGGGCGGTCGTGCCAGCTTCTCGGGGTGTTTTCACTATTCCTTTCACTTCCTCGAAGAAAACCTCGGGGAGAGAGTTTCGCTTCCTGGGGACTCTTGTGTGGACACGTGTGTGGGTGTAGAGGACTCGGGATAGTCTGGCCAGAGGGGTCCCGGGGCGGAGACCCTGCCCTGAGGGTGGATTCGTCTAGGGGCTTGTGCCTGGGGCTCTGTAGGGATGCCTTTATGCCTTCTTTCCTCTTTTCCCTTTTTCCTGTTATTTGCTTTTTCTATTAAGAATCCTCAAGGGCCTACTATGTGCAAAACAGTTTTTATTTCCTCTCTGCTTTGCTGTCTTTCCCAAGATTCATCCCTTGCTGATAACCAGGCCCCTCCCTCACAGGTCACTCAGCTGGCCACCTACAAGGCAGGAAGCGAGGACAGGTGTTTGTGGCAGTGGTTTAGAACAGGGGTCAGGGGAGTGACGGTGCGTGTCGCTTTGATCCGTGTGTTCAGGGGCCACGCAGCCCCCGCCATTACTGCACCAGGCCTGCCTGTCCCCACCTGCCCGTTCCTGGTGCTGCCTTCTCTCTGCCCCGTTGTCCTGGCAGAACACCCGGGACCCAGGGGTGCCACGCTCCACCTCCCCTGTGCCGCTCCCTGGCCTGGGGCAAGTCCTTGTGCTCAATGCCCTTGTTAATGAGATACGAATAATCCACGAATGGGAGTGATTAAGGACTAATGTGGAACTTCGGTATAGATATTTTGTTCGTTTTCTTTTTTTTTTCCTAAGATTTTATTTATTTATTTATTTGAGAGAGCGTACGAGCAGGGGTGGGGGGGAGCAGAGGGAGAAGCAGATTCCTCCCTGAGCCCCCCAGGTGCCCTTCTGGTGGTTTTCATTCAGTTCTCACGTAGCATCTGATTTACAGAGGTCGAAAGAGGTGGTCCCCCGCTGCCTTTCAGACCGTTTAAGTCTAGAAGCTCTTTTCCACATACCGTTGGACAACAGCCCAGCCTCTGCCCTGGACCTGGGGCTGCTGGGCCCCCCTCGCAGCCCCCCAAGCCCTCTCGTGTCCGAGGCTGTCACCCGGCATCCCTGGGTCTCCTGGTATGGTTGCTGACAGGGTCTCGGCTGCCCCCTTGTGTGGGGAGTGGTGGCTGGCCTGCTGGGACAGGCACCCCCTGACCTCGGAGGGCACGGCAGCCCTTGTGTTAGTTCCCTGCCAGTGGACAGTTTCTCATTCCCCACGTAAACTGTTAGAGAACCAGATCAGGATTTCCTAAGCCCATCTGTGTGCCTGCCGTTTTTCTGGACCTGCCGCGGCCTTTCTGCTCCTGCTCCAGTTTCCACCCACCTTCTAGTCTCGATTTTTTGGCATATTAATTCCTAACTGTCATCAGTTCATTGTCCTCAAGTCTAACAGAGACAGTGTTTGCGGTCTACAGACCTGGCGTGAGGGGCCGTCTGGAGCCTGTTTACCCACAGAGAAGGAAGTCCGTCTCCAGGTGATTTATTCTCAGCCGGTCTGTGGCCACGACCCACGGGCGTCACGTTCTGCCTGGATTTACAAGTCATCTCTTTACTACCGGTCTAGAATTCTAGAATTTTGGTGACATTTGGTACCACCTCTAGTTTCTTATAGCCAGATTAGAACTAGACTTTTCTGTATTTGCCATTCATGGTGACTTGTCCATCTTCAGACTTGTGGCGCTGCTCCCACTTTCCCTTATTACTCAGTTTGCCCACAATAGTTTTGGAATCATACTACAAAATAGTTGATATTTTTGGAATGTGACTTGTCTGAGCTTGAGACGTGAGTAATTGAAACGGCTCCTCATCTTACATCTGGGCTGCGTGTTCTTCAGCGTTGGTTCTCCCCTCCGGCCCGAAGCTGTTCTTGGAGGATGCACGTAGGAGCTGGTTTTGCTTCCTCCTCTGTCCTCTGTTACTGTCCCATCATCTTCTTGAAGTGATAGAGCAGACTTTGACTATTTCTCCTTGTTCCAAAGATAGCTTTAGAAACCTTTGTTTTCTTGTGGGGGGGGGGGGTTGGGGGCGGCACCACCTCCCCTAAATCTCCACGCTATGCAAGTGTTACTTGTCCTGATTACATTCCTCCTGTCTCCCCCCTCCCCCCCCCTTTTTGGGAGGATGGGGGTAGGTTTTTGCTTTGTTAAGAATCTGAGGGGCGCCTGGGTGGCTCAGTTGTTAGGCGTCTGCCTTCGGCTCAGGTCATGATCCTGGGGTCCTGGGATCGAGTCCCACGTGGGGCTCCCTGCTCAGCGGGGAGTCTGCTTCTCCCTCTGCTGCTCCCTGCTGCTCATGCTCTCTCTTTCACCCTCTCTCTAATAGATAAATAATCATTAAAAAATAAAAGAATCTGGGGCGCCTGGGTGGCTCAGTCGGTTAAGCGACTGCCTTCAGCTCAGGTCATGATCCTGGAGTCCCTGGATCGAGTCCCGCATCGGGCTCCCTGCTCGGCGGGGAGTCTGCTTCTCCCTCTGACCCTCCCCCCTCTCGTGCTCTCTCTCTCATTCTCTCTCTCTTTCAAATAGATAAATAAAATCTTAAAAAAAAAACAGAATCTGAGTTCACTGGATGGCTCCCTGGGTGACCACATGGAATTCTGTGTTTCTTTCTTCAGAAATGGGCTTATTCTGTGTAGAACTTTACATCACCTCTGAGCTCACTTTCAGTCAGTGGTCACACTTTCCTCTGCGCTGCACGCTGGAGTCTTTGAGGTTACGTGTTGCTGTAGAAGCAGCGAGCACTCTTCACTTGGGCCTGCGCCCTGGGATCTGCCTGTGAGCTCAGGTGCGCGGGGGCAGGAGCTCGGCTGTGTCCCGGTTTATGAATGAACCGTCCTCGGGGTGCCGCGCACAGTGCGCTGCCGCCCCTCCCTTTGTTGCGGGGAGTGCTCTGCTGCCAGGCTCAGCTTCCAGGGACAGGGAGGCGCGATGACTCCGAACGGTGCTGCTGGGCCAGGCGGGAGGGCCTGCCTCGGGGTTTCAAACAGAAACGGCTTGCTCCTCTTGATTGCTGCATCTTTCCTTCCCTCTTATGAACCAGAGAGCCCGTGAATGGAAGCGTATTTCGGATTTTGTCCCATTCATAGTCTGCAAACTAATTCATCTTCACTGTCCTTCCCAGCGTCGGCTCGCTTTCTCTGCCTTTTCCAGCATTATTCTGAAGTGTGAATCCCGCTCTGATGCAGCCTTTTCTCAGGGTCTGTGGGTGAAGCTGGCTGTGTGTGGCCCCGGGTCCTCTTCCTCATCATTCCTGGCCCTTTAACCTCTACCCTCCTTGTCTAAAGTGCACTCGTAATTGGGATTCGAGGTGCAGGGGGGCACAGGTGATGTCTCAGCTCAGGCCCGCCCTGTGGCGGGTGTGGGCACTCTTGGGTAGACCAGACGCTGGATGGTGTGTGCTGTACCTTGGCCTTGGTTCCTTTTTTCTTTTTAACCTGTTACAGGGTAATCGTTCTGGGTTTTATCTACAACGCATTTGTGCTGAGATCCAGCATAAAATGATTTCCCGACATCCATGTGAAGTGTGTGTGCTGTCCCTGCTGGAGAGGCCCCACGACTCTTTGCTCTCGACCCAGGAATTCAGGAGAACATGCCCGTTCCATGGCCGACTTCTCTTTTCCCTCCCGCGTCTCTGGCCACAGTTGTGTGTGTTCTGCGTCAGCTCTGACTCGCCGTGTTGTTTGGTCTCCAGGACGAACGAGGTGCACGTCTGTGTCCATTATGTTGCTTGGAAATGTGCGAGTCCTGTTGGATCTGATATGTCGTGTGCGCCTTCTGTTGTTTCAGGACTGTGAGGGCGAGACCCCCATTCACAAGGCGGCTCGCTCTGGGAGCCTGGACTGCGTCAGTGCCCTGGTGGCCAACGGGGCCCACATCGAGTAAGTGCCTTCGCTTATCCGTCCTGCCGACATGCAGTCAGGGCACCGTGCTGACAGGCAGCGTGTACTGCGAGCAAGCAGCAGTCCTCAGGTGGTGTCTCCGTGAGCGTAGCTCTGCTCGGTAGATCAGGTGGCGCTAGTGGGCAGGGCTCCGGTGGGGTTGACGGCTAGCGGAGGGAGCCGCTGCAGGCTGTTGCCATGACGGCACGTGAGGGTGGACAGAGCCGTGAGCTCGTTCCATTCGGAACCTGGCATTGTTGACTTGGCCACTAACTAGTTGTGTCACCGTGGGCAAGTCGTCAGACTTACTTTGCCAGTGTTCATTTTGAAATGAGGCCTTGGATTGGATTAGAACATCTTTTCAGGCCTCCCTGGCCCCCAGATCCTGACAGACAGCTAGCTTTTCTAAGTAGTGATTTTCTCATCTTTTAGCAGATGCGAGAACATTATGTTTTAAAGCACATTCTGACTTTTAATGATTTATAATTTGTAAAGTGGAACCATATACATTAAAGACTTAGACTCCCTCTGAGCTCTTGATATCAGTGACATTATTGTAATCTTGTTTTAGTCCAGTTTACATGAGCTAGTTTATTCGTGGCTTGATAGAACAGTATTAATATTTAAGTGTATTAATTTAAAGATGTGGTCTTATATGCAAAAGTCATTAGCTAGCCATGGCGTTAAACATTTATTTTAGGTATTAAATTCATTTGTATTAACTTTCTCTGAAAGATTTATATTGTAAAAATTTTTCTCCTGCAGTTCACAGCATTAACAAAATGGATGCGGTTTTCACCCCTAAATGTTGAGTGTAAGCTATAGAGCTGTAATAACCAAAATAACTATAATGTTAGCTTTTTTGTTTTGAGTGTCTTGAATATTTCATAAAAATTAATTACAAACCACTTTGTTCTAATTGGAAATGTGAAAATCTAGACTTTGGGAGAAATAAACCCACAAAACTAACCTAGTTTAACCCTTTGGTTTCCACTTCATTGTTTTGACTCTGTGTTATAATAAATTTATTGAAAATAGATCCTGGATAGCAAAACCATATAGATTAATTACTGCAAGGCCTAATACCAGGGGCTGTCATTTGGCTCCTAGGATCTTAGCTTCTGTTTCATTTAAGTATTACGTCATTAAGATAAGTCATTAGTTTGGGCTTGGATCTTTTTCATAGAAATTTAGTACTGTAAATATGCCCTGTATTAACTATTACATTGCAGGGTACCTTGTGACTTCATATAGTTATGACTTCAGGTAATGTAAAAACAATGGATAATACGAATATATATTATATAATTTGAGATGATTCTCAATGGCTTGCTTCAAAGTGAAGTTATATGTGCATTTTTTTAGCTATGTTTAGATTAAAAACTCAAATCTTTATTTTAATAACAGAAGCTTTGATTATGAAATACAGTCATATAAAATCAATGATTACATTGCTTGTCATTTATTGAAATAATAATTAGAAGTTGACCTTTTTAATGACTTATTTTTCTAAACAATAGTCTAATTGACCCTGAACATTTTATTACTAAGATGTTAGTTCTCTTCGTTTCAATGAATAGCTTAATCCTTTGAGCCAATAAATATTTCTCTCTATATCCTTTTTTTAATAGGTGTCTTTCTAAAATGAGAATCTTTTGTTTACAATTCTGTCCTTGGTTACAGGACCCTCGAGTGTCTCTTTCCCACCAAGTGTGACTGAGCCTGGCCTCGAGTGCCAGGCTGTTTTTCCTTCTCAGTATAAGAGCTACTCCCTCGAGATCCTGCATTATGGTGATTTCCCTTGCCTGAACCTTGAGATATTTTTTAGAAGAAGTATTTAGCCCGAGCCGACTAGCCTAAAGCGAGGCTTAAAATTCTAAGTCTTTGGCCTGGAGACGGAGCACAAAGAATCAATTGTATATGTGGTTATTTAGTTTTAACATCTGGAGAAATTGCCAGTTTTTCTGGGAAGCTGATTTGTAAATTGCTTTTTGATGTCTGTTCTGCACATTTTTATAGTTTAACACTTTTAGCCTACCAACAGATGATAGTTTGAGTCCCCCAAATTATGGTACTTAGATCTGTTTTACTTGTACTGCTCACATGGTAAAGAGTAGTCCTAGCAAATAAAATGCATTTTTGTTCTGTTTTGTTTTTTTAAGAGGATCGAGGGGCACAGTATTAATTTACTTACCTAAAGTGATTTGTGTTTTTTCTAGTTCACAATGGGCCAGATTATTAATTCTTCATATTACATGCTATAATATGAATCTTTCCTTTTCCTGTGAAGAGATTGAAAGCTGTCTCGTATCAGTATTTTGTCACACTTGGTGGTGATTATTAATTTTGTTATTAATTCCTACTTTTTTTTTTTTTTTTTTATGTATCAGCTGCATAAAGTGGCCAAAATCTTAAGTTGCTGCTTTTTTGGTCACTGGGTAGATAATGATGAGGGCAAGCATACCCCGCGTCTGTGGCTAGAGTGGTTTGTTGTGTAACTCACTTGCCAATATAGGCCGCGTCTGTACGATAACGCATGTCAGCCGCTGGGCACCGTGTGTAACATTTTCTAGCACCACACGTGAGTATGTTGATGGAGTTTTTTTTTTCCTTCTCTTATTTTACATCTTGAGTTTTGGTGCCAAGTTTTCTTTTTCTCGTGAGGTTTTGTTTCTGGCTTATATGATGGTCATTATCATTTGCCATTGTTTACATCCAAAAGTAAAAATACGTAGGATTAACTGGTAATTCTGTGACCAGGTTCAGTGTTTGCATACTTTAAATCTCCTGAACCTCTGCAGACTCTTCTCGTTCCCATTTTTCTCCAGCGCATCAGGTACGGACTTCTCAAAAGTGAGGCTGTCCCCGTCCTTCGTTTGCTTGTGGGACGGTTCCGTCTGTCACTGCGGCCAGTACCGATTGCTGCCCGCTCTGAGGGGTTTGCATCGGAGGAGGGACACAGACGAGCCTGCAAACTGCCGTTGCCTCTTTTTTCTTTTTGATGATCAAATAAGTAGCAATGTAAGCTGAAGTCTTCTGTGATTTTCGAGAAAGCAAGAAAACTTGCTGACTATCTGCTGATAGTTAAGACCTTTTAACTACTGACACTGTAAACTGCAGATTTCAAGCCTTGGATTATCTTTACTTTCACTATTTGGGCACCAATTAATTTGAGTTACTTTGTTTTCTTGAGAAGTAAAGTGAACGTTTCCGTATCAACCAGATATTGAAATAGTCTTTTTTATGCCTCTGAGTAGAAATACAGGGACTCAGTGGGATTTAGAGTGAAACTACAGTTGCTGGGACTTCAGGCAGATTTGCTGGCCCATTTTGTGCCCTGCCACACGGGTGTTAGTGTTTAATGAGGTCGTGGCAGAGTCTCGTAGCTTCCAATAGGAGAGCATTTCTGTGGAATTAGCCCTAGCAAATAAATTCCGTGGCACCCAGATCTTCAAAGGGGCTGTGTATATTCCCACTGACCTATTCTAATCCCGGGAAGGACTTAACTGCAGTCATCAGATAACTGGAGAAGCATCAATAAATAGCCTTATGTAAGCAAGTTCAGTGACTCACTCTAAAAAAAATCCTTCTGCCTAATTTAGAAAACAGGCACAGTTGGCTATAGTCACAAAAGTCTAAAATGTGATCTTAATAGACTTTGTTTTAATTTTGCAAAAGCATCCACACTACTGAACTTTGAGACATTCTTAATTGAAATTGAGTTGGTTTAGTTTGGTTCCTCATTGGTGGTCACATTTATGACCCAGCCTCATGCGCTTACCCAGAGAGCCCTCTCTGGAAGCAGAATTCCCTTTAGGGCACCTACGTGCCATGAGGATATGTCATATTGCTGTTGGGAGTTTGTTCGCAGCTCCTGCCCGAGGCAAAATCTAGCCCACACTTACTCTGATAACCATTCATTCATTCATGTTTGAAATTTGTGGTTTCTTTTCATTGGTTCACGTATTTGCCCCTAAGAATAAAAGTCTGTGAAATTTGTTAGAATTGTAACTCTGAATTAGTTTCTGATTTTGGACCCTCTGCGTTCCCACCTAGTCTCACCGCCCATACGTACCTCAGTGTCACTCCGGCACGCTTGTCCGATCTTGCTGGTGGCTGGCTCTTTTCCCGTTGTATGGGAGAGCTGCTGGCCTGGTGGACGAGATACTTCCCGACGTAGCGCTGAAGCTCTTTCTGCCTGCCGACAGGAGCAGAGGTGGACAGCCAGCCTCCTAAAGCTGTGGACACACTTAGTTTAGAATTTTGATTAGTTTCGTAACACCTTGAATAGCATAGACTTGGATAATTGTTTAATCACCGCTTTTCTAAATAGTGCTTTCAAATAGCCAATGATTTCCAAATCCAAATATCTTTTTCCTCTGCTAAATTATAGTGGGAGCACATGAAGCCTTTTATCAGCCTCTGAATGACACTCTTCTGTTTAACGTATGCAAACATGGTTGGGGTTCGGTTGCAATGTAAAACTACCCTCAGTGATGTTGACCTTGAAATGAAAACTTGGCACCAAATTTATTCAGGTAAATACTTTAAAAAATAGTTTCTTCCTCTTGTTATCTGAAGACTGTATTTAAGAAAGTCTTCATAATTTAAGAGTTTGGATACCAAAGGGTTAAAAATACACGTGTTTTTCTTTTACTGAAGAAATCTTAGATGTTTGCTAATGTTGTCTGTACAAATGGACATTTAGTGATGTTTTTTTTAATCTTTTTTTTTTTTTTTAACGATTCCATGTATTTGCTTATTTCCATCTAGGAATAGTTACTAATGTATTTGAGATACAGCATACCAAATTTTAAAGTAACCAGAATCGTGAGTGAATGGTTTTTAGTCCATACTGTTAAACTTTTGTTGAAGTATTGACATATTTAAATTGGCTTCATGCTGAAAGTGGCTGCAGGAGGTTGGAAGGCAGCGTCGTGGAGCCGGCCCCCGGTCCAGGCGGTCACGTGACGGTGGCTCGCGCTCACTAACCGTGCCTC